GAAGTCGATATGCCGTATGGCTCTAAACTTTTTCCTAAGTGATGAAATCCTTCCTCGGAGGACTCCAGATTTAGGTCTTCTCAGGTTTATTGATGATGATAAAACTGCGAAGCTTATTGTACAAATACACACAAGAGTTTACGGTGTGCACATGAATGGACTCCTTTGGCTAGTATGATCCTTCGATCTAGCTATTACTGGATGACTATGGAGCATGATTGTTGGAAGTTTGTGTAGAAATGTCATAAATGTCAAATGCATGGTTATTTGATCCGAGTACCACCTTAAAAACTCAATGCTATGAGTTTGCCCTGGACGTTTGTAGCGTGGGGCATGGATGTCATCAGTCCGATAAAGCCAACCGCTTCTAATGGACAAAAACTTATTTTGTTTGCCATTGACTCTTCACCAAGTAGTTTGAAGCAACATTCTTATTAGACGGTGATGAAGAAAGTGGTAGCTGATTTTGTTCGCAACAATCTGATATGCAGGTTTGGAGTACAAGAATCCATTATTACTGATAATGGTGCAAATCTCAACAACCACTTACTAAGAGATATATGTGAGTAATTTAAAAGTACTCACCGAAACTCAAACTCTTATCATCCGCAAATGAATTGAGCTAGAGGCCTCCAATAAGAAAATAAAGAAGATTTTGAGAAAATGATTTATAATTATCGAGGTTGGCACGAGATGCTGCCATATGCTTTTTTGAGATACCGACCGACTATCAGAACGTCGATTTGAACTACTCCATACTTGCTAGTGTATGCAACAGAAGCAGTCATACCGGCTGAAGTCAAGTACCATCCTTAAGAATCATAGAAGAAGCGGAATTGAGTAATGTTGAATGAGTTTGCAAATGGATTGACCTGTTAACTTTGATTAACGAAAAAATAATAGTTGTAGTTTCTCATGGTGAACTATATCTATAAAGAATGATTCACGCGTTCCACAAAAGATTTGGAGATAGAAAATATTAAATTGGTAAGTTTGTACTTAAGTGTAGTTTTTCACATCAAGAGGAGTACAAAGAATAATATGCACCAAATTGGCAAGGACCCTACATGGTTTGTAAAGTATTATCAGGATGTTCTATGTTCTTGTAAGAGATGGATGGGAACCGCATGGCCAAAGCCTATCGACTTATATGTTCTCAAGAGATACTTTGTGTGAAACATTCGTTTGCATTTTTTCATTTACTTGTAATCTCTCTCTTTGCTTGTAATTGTTCTTATTTCTCTGTAATGAACTGCGTGTGACCTTAATTCTCAAGAATGAGATACGTAGGCGGCCTATGTCGTCTCCAGTCACTCCCTTTATCCATTTTGATATTTCTTTGTGTTTGAACTACATTCCACCTGAATTCTAAAAAATGAGATACGTAGGCGGCCTATGTCTGCCTGGATCGGTTTCTTTATATATTTCTTATTATTATCAACCTTCGAGGGGTCAACGAAATACGTAGGTTGCACAAGGGTTCGGTCATATTTCTTGTAAGATTTCTTTTCCTTTCTGGATAGAAACTGGATAAAAATTTTGAGAGAGACTCAAAAATTTTCGAGAAGAACATTTTTCCTCAACAAGTCGAGATTGGAGTTACTTTGGGATCTTCAACTGCTACAAAATTTTTAAGGGTATCTCAAAAATATAATGATTTGCCTATCGACGGTTAATGATAAGCCATGACAGTTAAATAGGATAGAAATTTTGACGATGACCTCAGTATTTCAACATGGTTTTATCTAGAGTCTAGAGTGACTCTGAATACTCCCAAACAAATAATCAGATAGATCTCTAAGCATCAGAATCAAAGAAGTTTGCTAAGCCTGATTTGACATTATACTTGGCAGTACCCTTTTTCTAAAATAATACTTTTGGAAAATTCAATTTTTCCATTCATGTTTCAATTGTTTTGGCATAAAATATTTTCTCTTATCTATCAAGAGTCAAGAAATCAGAACATCAATCGGAGATAGCATAACAAGAGAAGACATATCAAGAAATCGAGGCAAATCAGTTTCGTTTTAAAACTAACAATTTTTGTATCGATGCAGGCTTATAGATTTGCTATGAAATCAACAAAATTCCTCAGATTGATGAATATGGAGAAGTGAAAGGGTGAAGAGCTCCCAAATTAACAATTTTTTGGTGGATGCAGAAAATATTTGATATCGCTTATATCAAAGACTTGGATATGAATGGTTTTATTTCATCCAATTTCCAACAACATGTAGTATATAATTAATATACATCTAGATTCAAAGATAAATCAAATGAAAACTCCAAGAAAGAGAGTTCATGATTTTTCATCAATGACTTCATCGGCATCATATTATCTATCATAAAAGATTTACTATCCGGAGGGTCATTATATTTTTATTGTTGATTGAGGCGATGTCTACCAGAAAGTCACGCATCCCAGGAAGATATTCGTGCATCGCGGCAAGATATTTATGTATCGCGAAAAATCATGTATTGCGGGAGGATATTTATGTATCGTAAAAAATTATGTATCGAGCTCAAAACAATGCATCACTGAAAATCATGCATCGAGGGAAGATATTCATGCCCCGCAGAAAATGATACATCACGAGGTGATGTTCATGCATCATGAGAAGATATTCATGCATCGCAAGAAGATATTCATGCATTTTTGAAAATAATTAATCGCTGAGAGTATCACATCGCAGGAAGAAAGTCATGAATTGCGAAAAATCATGTATCGCGGGAAGATATTTTTGTATTGAAAAAAATAATGCATCGCGGAAAGATATATATATGTATCACAAAAAATCATGTATCGAGTTAATATTCATGCATCACGGGAAGATATTCATACTCCGCAGAAAATCATGCATCGCGAATTAATATTCATGCATCGCAGAAAGATATTTATCTATCATGAAAAGTCATGTATCGAGTTAATATTCACGCATCACGGAAATCATGCATCGCGAGGTTATAGCCATACATCGAAGAGATATTAATGCATCGGAAAAAAATCATACGTCACGATAAGATATTTATGCATTGCAGGAAAACATCATGCATCACGGAAGTTCATTCATTGTGGAGAAGAAGTCATGCATTACAAGAAAAAATTCAGGCATCGCGAAAAATTCATGCACTATAAAAGTCATATGTTTACCCCTCAACATGAATCGTATCCTTTATTTTGGCAAGAGTGCATGCCAAGAGAATCACCAAAAACTAAATAAAGAGAAATATCAACACCACATCAACTTTTATTATTTCAACCCAATGAGGAGTATATAGAAGATTATATTGTAAAAGACATAAGCTTTATTTTTAGCAATTAAGTGTCAAAATTGTAAATGACACTATCTCCCATTCAAATTGTATTTGTATGCTGACGAGTTTTATCTCAGTCTTTGTCAAGAACGTCCGAAAGGATGATTCTCCAAAAAAAAGTCCATAGGTTCGGACGATATTAAAAAGGATGGAGCACAATGTGAAATTTCTTTCTCAGCAGCAAACCGGGGACATAGTTCAAAGAGGAGTGTCAAACTCTTAGTACACGAGCAGATGATTGACTTCCACAACAATGAAACCACACCCTTATCATAAGTCATGTGGGTTTCACTTTATTATCTTCGAGATCAGTTTTGCATCCGGGAATATTGTATGTGTCGGAGGCAAGTTTCCAATATGAGTAGAAATACACCAAGAGCGTTGAAAATTACATCCGTGTAAGTTATTAATCATGGGTATGAAGTGCACCACGTTCATGGTTAAGAGGTTACAAGCTTTTTTTGACAGTCGACATGATGTGTCACTTGTCTAGAGCTAAAGGTTATCAAGCATAATAGATTTCTTTTTCAACCGATTGAGTCAAACTACAAACAACCTTGTTACTAAGATTTAAGGATATGTAGGCAGACTCAATGTTGAAAACTCGTCTGTATTCCAAACTTTTGCTTTTAAATCTTATTCTTGAACTGTTCCAGTCCCTTCAAAATAAGGTATTTGGTGACTTCTGAATTCATTCAAAATCGCGCGTTAAATCAAGAGTTTCTAGCTACAAGTGGCCTAAATTCTCATGTAGCCTGAGATATGTAGGAAACCCATTTCTGAGGTTCATCCATGATTCCTAGAGTCCATACCAAAACTCTTTTCTTAAAGATGAATGTGTGGCCGGACAAAATTGGATTGGTCAATTTCATGTTACTCAAATTTCTTGCATCAATCCAAGTAAAATGATAGATAGTTTTTGACACCCAAATTTTACCATCATCGATGATAATTAATACTCGAGCCTCTTGATTTTCAAGCGAGTTGAAATAATTGATGTTATAAAATTCAAATCTTTATTTTAGTCATTTGTTAAAGTGTGTGTATATATTATGTTAATTTATTATATAAAATATCCAAAAATTGTATAAAAAAGATTTTAGTCTTGCTGCATGTTTTTTAGTTTTGGTAGCTTGTAGTTTGGATCTTCATTTTATAGCTAAAATTACTAGTTTATCAAGTCATATTTTAAGTAGTATATATGTTTCGTAATTTAATATATTTAATTAATTTGTTTTATAAATATTCGAAAATCGTTACAAAAGGATTTTGGTTTTACTAAATATTTAATTGAAATTAATTTTTTCTAAATTGTTAACTTACATTTTGGGTCATTAGTTGTAATTAAGTTAAATTTTTTATATTGTTAAAATTAAGAAGCTTGTTAATTAATAAATGTTAATTCCATTTATGCATTTTGGTCGATTTACTAGTTAACCTAGTTCGTCTATACTCTAAATGGCTACAATGTCATGTTTAGACATTTTGTTCTGTCCAATTTTTAACTGAATTCCCATGCCATTCCCTTAAATTTAATAAGCCAATTATTCTTATCCAACTTTTCCAATATTACAAAAACATCCCCAACCCATTTGATTCCACTTGTCCCATTTCAATTTTTGAGTAAGCCTATTTTACACTCCTTTCAAATCAAGTCAGCTCAATCATCCAAATTAAAGCTCCACCGACCCGGCCCATTTTTAATCCCCCAAAAGAGACCCTATACGCACCTGTTTTTATCTTCACGCGAAAATGTCTCTTCATCTCCTAGTTCTTCCAGATTTACTCGTACAACAACCTATATATTTGTCTTTGCCATTGTGGGATCACTCTACGTTGCAACAAGGATGTTTAGGATCGATCCCAAGTGTCCTTCCCTTTTTCTCTTGTGGAATAGACCCAAAAATGCAGGAAAAAAGGTGCTCGCCCAAAAGTGGCGAGGGAATTCAAAATTTTAGTTTTGGACAGGTTTTGAACCCGATTCCATACATTCCCCCCCCCCAAAAATAATCGGAAAAAACTTATTTTCCCCTCCTATATAACATCTTTTTCTATTCATGGGGAGGTGGAGATTTTTTATTAGATATATTTTTTGGCAGAGAATAGAGAGGAAAAAATTTTGGAAGGATTTTTTGGGAAAAGAGATACGATTTTTCAGGCTCAAAAAACAAGGTATATTAACAGCATTTGAAGAAGCACTCGATCAGTATGGTTTAAAACTCAACTCCGCTTGTTTTTTTTGGTTGTCGTCCGTTTCTGCACCTTCGTGAGGTGGGAGTTGACGTTCTTTTGCTCGTCGTCCGTTCACTACATCACAAAAGGTAATGTTTTTTTTCTCTCTCGATTCCAACTCGTTTAAGGCTTCTTCCCACTTGCGAAATGATAGTCTATTTTCTTTAAATTCCTCTTTTCCGTTTGGTTTACTATTAATGTCGTAGGTCTATTCGTTTCGTTTGTTTTCAGTATGTCATAATCCATGGCTTGGAAGGCATCTTTTGGTGTCAGTTTAAGTTTAAGAGCTCTTTTGAATCAAAAATCCAGTCCGCTTTTGATATTCACATCTTGTTTCTTTCTTGGTCTGTTTTGTTTCGTGTTTTTTCTGACTTGATGACAGATCGATATTGCTACTTATGTAAGTTTGAACCTTCAAATCAACTACTATGATTAATATGTATGGACTGCTCATTTCTTTTTCAAATTGTTTGGGTTACATACTTTCTTGAAGATTTTGTTTTTGTTTTTATTGCCTGATATGATGTGGTAAATTGTATCTCATGTTAAAGCTACTATACTTTTATTCAAAAGCATGCATATTTTTAGCTTGAACCCGTGTTGAATCTGGGTCCCTCTGTTCTGCTTTCTTCCCCGAGTTTGGCCTCTGTTTGCAGCTTTGTCGTTAAGAAAAAATAATATTTAAAAAATGATATTCTTCTCTTAATATATTAAGAGCTTGGGGTTCGATCACTACCTTCTGGCTCGCATATTACATGCTTCATAGCTTTACCGTGTTGTGACTATAGGTTAGTTTGGTCATGTTTAATGTACGTAAATTTCATTGTGTTGGTTTCTCTGTCAATCTAGCTGAATCAGAATCATGAGTTGCACTTTGTTTGGAGTTCTATGCTATTAAGAAGTAAAATATATTAAAATGATTTGTGTATGTGTGTTACCTTATCAAAAGTGAGATGTTTGGTTGTCATATCTTATTTCTGCAATATTAATTATTCCACCCACTAATCGTTGTTATGAAAGCATGTTGTACTGCTTACCCCCTCCCATTCCCCTTTGGTTAATTAACCCCTGTCTCCATAAACGAAAGCCTTTAGTGGATCATTGGATTAATTGTGATTAATATGTGTTTTTTATGCGATGTAAATATTTTATCTTATTCTTAGCATGTTCGCGAGTTTTTTATAGATATTTAGTGGTGTATGAAATTATTTTCATTGTACATTTCGTTAGCGATCTTAAATAGTCTAATTAATTTATGTCACTACATCATGCGTTATCAGTTGAAAGAAACTAGTTATCATATTAGTAGTTAATTTAGTTACAAGTATTAAGTTAGTTACAATTTAAGAAGTTAGTTATTCATAAAAAGATTCTATATCGATCTTCTATATAATTACATAATTGTATCTAAATTAGAGAATTAATTCTAATAATACAATTGCTGAGATATTCTCTCTGCTGATTCTTCTTCCTCTTATCTCTGCTTCCTCTTCTCTCTTCTTACTCTTCTCTTTACTTCATAAAAATCACATGGTATCAGAGCAGATGATCTGACTCTATGAAATCTGGGTTTCAAATCAGTGATTATTGCTTCCGCTTATCAAGTGTTAAAGTGAAAGAAGTTGAAGAAATCTCTGAAAAATGGTTGGGGACGATAGAGTTCATGATGAACCAGTAACAAATGTCAATCGAGCTGTCACCATTGGTCAAAAAATTGACTACAATCATCTATTGTTCTTATCTCCATCAGATGTTAGTGGACATAATATCATTTCATTTCAGTTAACAGGTATGGAAAATCATGCAATCTGGTTTCGATCTATGCGTATTGCATTGCTGGGTAGAAATAAACTGGGGATGGTAGATGGTCATGTGATAAAGAAAGGCGTAGTGAAAATTTATGGAGTCACTGGGATCGAGTTGATGCCATTGTTCAATCTTGGTTAATGAACTCTGTTTCTAAGAGTTTACTAGGTGGCATTATGTATGCAGCCACTGGAAAAGCAGTGTGGCAAGATCTACAAGAAAGGTTCACCAAGATAGATGGTTCAAGAACATTCAACATGCATAAGGAGATAGACACTTTAACTCAAGTAGTAAATTCTGTAACAGTCTATTTCTCCAAACTCAAGACTCTTTTGGAGGAATTTGAGGCTTTGATACCACCACCAGGCTGTAACTGTGAAAAATCCAAGGTGTTCATATTCCATCTACATAAACTGAAATTGTTTCAGTTTCTCATGGGGCTAAATAAATCATATAATCAAGAAAATACTGCTCATGAGTCCATTGCCTTCAATCAATCAAGCCTATGCTATGGTAATGGGTGATGAGAGTCAAAGGTCTGTGTCAACTACGAATGGAGTGTTGGGTTCAAATCCAATGTCACATACAGGCAATTATGAAGCTGTTATGTACAACATAACAAGTGGAAATCAAAAGTTCACAAAGAACTCATATCTATATTGTGAGGTGTGTAAAATAAGAGGACACAACAAGGAAAATTGTTGGGAAATAGTGGGATATCCACTTGAGTTCAAGTATAAAAAGAAAAAACCCTCTGAAGGTGGGAGTGCAGCTTACAATGTGAGTACAAAAGAGAGCACACAAAATGATGTACTCCATGCTGGAAGTGGATAATCTGAATTCAAGTATGGTTCTAATACGAATATATATAGTCAGAGCAAAAATGCAAGTAGCATAGATCAAGTTCAATCCAAGCCTAGTCAAGTTAATGCTAATCATTTTACACAAGAACAATACAATCACATAGTACAACTGCTAACACAACACAGTCCTCAAGTCAAATAGGATTCCATGTCTAACACAGCTACAAACACTGCATGTATGACTAACTCAATGGCTATGACAGTGTCTCACAAACCTACTTGTATTGTGGACATAGGAGCCACAAATCATATGGCTTAAAACATAGAGTTACTAAGCAAGTTGTTAGTTAATAAATTAGCCTCCCATAGAACTGTACAATTGCCAGATGGAGATGAAACACAACTTACACAGACTTGTTTAAGTAGTATATCTGATGGTAGTACAATATCTAATGTATTGTATGTGCCAGAGTTTAAATTTAATCTGTTATCAGTTTCAAAACTAACAAAAGAATTGCAATGTTTTGCTTCTTTCTTCCGTGACTTTTTTGTTTTGCAGGATCTCTTCACTAGGAAGGTGAAGGAGATTGGTAGAGAGGAGAAGGGGCTATATTTGCTACTAAATAAAGATGTAAGAAGCTCTATCAGTGTAGCTGCTCAAGAGTCAAAGAGTGTGTCAACAGACAAGATAAATATGAATCTCTGGTACAAAAGATTAGGACACACATCTACTTGAATAGTAAATAAATTGTTTGATATTGAACTCACTTATATTAGAGAAAATAGGGGATTGTGTAGTATGTCCTTGTGCTAAGCAGTGTAGATTACCTTTTCAGAATAGCAGTATAAAAAGTAATAGCTATTTTGAATTGATTCACGTTGATCTGTGGGGTCCTTAAAAAACCAATACATATGATGGAAACAAATATTTTTTAACAATTGTAGATCACTATTCAAGATATACATGGATATCTTTTGAGACCGAAATCTGATGTTTGTGTATGTCTTCAATTTTTTATGAATTATAATAGGATTCAGTTTTATAAAACACTTAAAATAGTTAGAACTAATAATGGAACTGAATTCATTAACTCAATATGTGAACATTTATTTTAACACGTAGGAATTATTCATCAAACTACATGTGTGTGTACACCCCAAAAAAATGTGGTAGCTGAAAGAAAACATAGACATATCCTAGAAATAACTAGAGCCATCAGGTTGCAGGCTAATATACCTATAAAATTCTGGGGACATTGTGTCCTAGTGGCAGCATACTTGATAAACAGGATACCTAGTTCAATACTAAAAGGAAAAACTCCTTTTAACAAACTCTATGCAAAGAACCATCATTAGCTCATCTAAGAATACTAGGGTGTTTATGCTTTGCTAGAATGTCGAATCAACATGATAAACTTGAGTCAAGGCCTATAATTTCTGTTCATATGGGATATTCAGAAGTGCAAAAAGGATATATTTTATATGATTTAACTAATAAAGTGTTTTTTGTTAACAGGATGTCATATACAATGAAACAATATTTCCATTTGATAAAGGGAAATTGTTAGAACCTGTGTTTAAAGACACTCATTCAACATTAGATCATTCATTTCAATGGTCTAGTATTCCTACTGCTACACCTACTCATCAAGTTCAACAATACACACAGGATGAAGTGAGGGAACAATGTCAACATAACGAGGAGTTAAGGACTATGATAAATAAAGATACAGTTCAGATAGCTTTACAACCATCTACTACTAGTGATATTCAACAGAATCGAAAGTCAGGAAGAAGCAGCAAACCACCTATTTGGTTAAAAGATTTTGTATCCGTCAAAATTCATAAGAAATAAGGCTATGGCATCAAAAACTATATAAGTTGTGATAATATATCTGATAAATATAGTGCATACATAGCTGCAATTTCAAATCATATTGAACCATAGTCTTATACAGAAGCTGTTAAAGATCAAAGATGGATAGAAGCTATGAAGTCTGAAATTGTAGCATTGCAAAGCAACCATACTTGGGACCTAGCAACTCTTCCTGAAGGAAAGACTCCAATAGGCTGCAAGTAGATATTCAAAGTCAAATATAAATCCAGAGGAGAGGTAGAAAGGTATAAAGCCAGACTAGTTGCTAAAGGGTGCAACCAGCAAGAAGGAATGACTAGCAAGAAACATTCTCTCCTGTGGTAAAGATGAAAACTGTTAGGACTGTTTTGACACTAGCTGTACAAAATGGATGGTGTGTACACCAAATGGATATGTTCAATACATTTTTACAAGGAGATTTGTTTGATTAAATCTATATGGAAATGCCAGAAGGATTCACAAGTCAGGGGGAGAAACAACAAGTATGTAGACTTGTGAAGTCATTATATGGGTTGAAAGAAGCTCCTAAACAGTGGAATGCTAAACTGTCTAAGGCATTAGTGGAACTTATGTTTAATCAAAGTGAATATGATCAGTCTATGTTCATCAAGAAAGATGAATTTGGAATAATGATTATTCTTGTGTATGTGGATGATCTGTTAGTTACAAGAGATAGTCTGAAAATTTTGAAAGAGACAAAAGAGAAGTTAAAACAAGTTTTTAAAATGAAGGATCTTGGAGAACTAAGATACTTCTTAAATATTGAGTTTGCCAGGTCTTACTAAGGTATACTTATGCAGCAAAGAAAGTACATATTGGAGCTCATATCAGAGACATGACTTAGCACTTCTAAACAAGCTTCAACACCAATGGACACAAATGTCAAGTTAACAACTAAGCAGTTTGATGAGTACATCAGATAAGGAAATTCAGAAAAGTCCAACCCAAATGATCCACTAGTAGATCAACGAGCATACCAAAGTCTGATAAGATATCTAACTGTGACAAGACCTGATATAGCCTTTGGGGTCCATACTTTAAGTCAATTTCTCCAACAACCAAAGAAATATCACATGGGAGTTGCTCTCAGGATTGTAAGGTATGTGAAGAACCAACTAGGTCTAGGAATTCTAATGTCTAGTAATAAGAACACAACACTTACAACCTACTGTGACTCAGACTAGGCTTTATGTCCACATACAAGAAGGTCAGTAACAAGTTATATGGCTAAATTTTGAGATTCTCTTTTAAATTAGAAGTCAAAGAAACAAACAACCATATGAAAGAGTTCTGCAAAAGCAGAATACAAGAGCATGGTTGCTACAGTGTCAGAGTTAACATGGATTATAGGTCTAATGAAAGAGTTAGGAGTGAACTTGAACCTACCTTTAGATATTTACTCAGACAGCAAAGCTGCTATACAAATTGCAGCTAATCTAGTGTACCATGAAAGAACCAAACAAGTTGAAATAGACTGCCACTTTATAAGGGAAGAAATAGACAAAGGGTTTGTAGCAACAATGTACATATAACTAAAAGATCAATCAGCTGATTTACTTATGAAATGTCTCAATACAGTACAAAATTTGTATCTCAATTCCAAACTAGGAACTTGTAACATTTTCACACTACCTTGGTTGAGGGGGAGTGTTGAAAGAAACTAGTATCATATTAGTAGTTAAGTTAGTTACAAGTATTAAATTCGTTACAATTCAAGAAGTTAGTTACTCAAAAAAAGATTCTATATTGATCTTCTATATAAATACATCAATGTATCTAAATTAGAGAATTAATTCTAATAATACAATTGCTGAGATATTCTCTCTGCAGATTCTTCTTCTTCTTCCTATTATCTGTGCTTCCTCTTTTCTCTTCTTACTCTTCTCTTTACATCATAAAAAGCACCTTATGTAATGGGCATCTATAGAACACATAATTTTATTTTTATTTGTTTTATTGTTATTAACATTTTCCCCCCGCTGAAATGGTAGTTTGTCCTTGACATGATATTATATTTTTCTTGAATTAGTTACATTGTTCCCAACATTTCCTTATACTTTTTGAGATTTTAAATAATTCTTTTTTAGGCATTATTTGAAGTTTATGAATTAATAGGAATTCAAGTTTGTGTCAATAATAGCTTGTTAGGTTGTGTTGTTGTCATATTATCTCTCTTTTGACAAATAATTACGATCCTCGCTTACTTTCTATTCCTATTTCTCTGTTACATGTGAATCTGTCCTAGTTCACACTGAACTCCTATCACTTTTCTTTTGCATTTTGAGGGAGCCTCAAAGACTTAAATTCCTCTTCCTTGAGTCAAACTCATTTCCCACTACAAAATTGATTGGACAGGTCCCGCAGCCAGACATGGACTATATTGGAGATTTGAAAGAAGATTGGGTCAAAAGGCTCACTTTTATTTACGCTACATGATTGTATTTTGTTACTTTTGGGCCTAAGCCCTTATGTTTTAGTACTATTATTTTTAATTTGTTTAGGGAATGTACAAAAAAAAGGGTCCAAAAACCCAAAACAAATGGGTCAAAATACCGATTCAGGCAGACATAAACCAGATTTTGACCCAACCTCTGTCTGTCTCTCTATCCTCTACTTTATCAGCTATTTATTTCCTTATTAGTTGCCATTTAGTTTAGGGTTCAAATCCACGCGAAGCATCGTCATGTTTTAATGGTTAAATTAAATAGATCTTCTGTAATTAAACTTAAAAACAATAATAAATGAATTATGCAAGTTGAAAATCTCAATTGGATAGTAAAGTAAACACTTCATTTTCCAAACAAATAGTTTTAAATTTAAATTAAGTTTAAGATGAAATTTATTCTAAGCCAAACAACTTAGTTGTTGGAGAATCGCGAGTTAGCGAGCATTTTAGGTTCCGTAAAAACCTCCCTAAAATATGAATTAGAATCTGCGAAATCCTTTTAAGGTTTTCAATCGATTTTCCATTTTAAGTTTGTTGAAAAAAAAGGTTTTCTTAATATTTTTGAAAAAATTAATTGGCTACTCTAACAAGTCTAAAAAAAAATAAAATTTTTCTTTTAAATAATACATGAACTATGAAGGACACTTGGTAAGTCTTAAGATTTTTATCCTTTTCTTTCAATTGTGGTTAATTGTGATTAAGTCATGATGTTATACTGGAGTAAGCCTTGTATTAGGATTGATAGGATGGTATGATGTTGAATTGAAATGTTTTGACTATGGTGTGAGGTTGATTAAGGTGTTTGTGTTATAAAGATGGTGATGACTATCAATGTGCCTTATTATGATATAACAGGCTTATGTACTACCTCATTTATATGAATTGTGATGAAATGACTTATACTCATGCAATTCTTATTGAGCTATTGATGATAATGATTATACAAGGGTTAGAACTTATGACCTAAACTAAGCTATGATTGATAATAAAAGGCTTAAAGACATTTAAATAAAGGGACTTACCTTAGCACCAAGTGAACTTGACAGTGGGAGGTGATGACTTCCCATGGAGGAAGATTCACCCTGTAGTTTTAAATGTGGTGTTGACTCTCCAATGAGGTATACTCTTCCAATGGATTCCAATGAGAGGAGGTCCTAATTTCCAAGTGACATGTAGAGGGACTATAAGTATCTCTTAGTTCTTGAACTATGTTGCCCTATAGGAATACTAGCTAGTGGATCCGCCTGGAAAGCTATGTTTATGTTTGGTTTTACTTTGGATGGAAGATCACCTTCCATCGGTTTAAGGTTTTAAAACGCCTGATTCCACACTAGGTCATGTGGTCTATGTCGGTTAAAGCAAGATGTTCCCAAAAAGGTAAAATGAATTAAAAAATTGAATTCTATTTAGGATAACCTAAGGGGTCTAGCTTAGTATAGGTAGGGGTATGAGACTCTAAGCATTCCACTAGTTAGCCTTGAGGGGATTCTTCGGAGGACGTTCTTATGTATGATTATGCTTATGATGATATATGATATGTATGTGATGAACTTGCATGTTGTTGATACCATATGTTTATCAGTTTACTTATGAGTATGTATTGTTATTAGCGTTTAGATTGTATAAGGTGAGACAATCTTTATGACTTTTTTCTATCTTATATAT